ACCATTCCCTGCGGCTGAGGAAATCACTGCGCTAAGTGAATTTTTAGAAGCAGACTTTTATCTCTAAATAACAAACGTACGAATATTCTCAAATGAGGAGATGCAAATACGCAAAATCTTTAATTTGTTCCTGTTCTGATAAGAGGAGCTGAGAGGCCTTCTGGGGCAGGGGAAATGATTTGAGCAGTCAGTAAGCAATAGCTGCTGCTTAGCAGGTCTGAGTTACCCCAGTGCTTGCAGAGCAAGAAAAGAAGGCGAAGAAAGGAGGGGGAAGTTTTATAGTTTTGTTGTTGTGGAAAATGTAATGCTTCCAGTATCTTCCCAACCCCTGATCTCTCCCAGAACCTGAGTCTGTTCAGCTCCACAGGATGGTCCTGGCACTTACCGGAATTTAATGAGTGCTCATTAAAGCCAGTAAGTGCTCAGTGTATCTTAATGAGCCCAGCAAACCTGCTCAGGAAAACTCGGGGGTGTTTTAAGTGCTTATAATGGGGTGTGGAGAAGGGAGGGGAGGAAGCGAGTCCATTTTAGAGGAAAAAAACCACCACCTCATGCAGTTTGTACAGCGTGTTGGGCAGCACCCATCACTCCATGGCCAGCCCTGAGCTCCCTTCCTTCGCTCCCTTCCTTTCCCCTCTGCGTGCCCTGTGACATGCTCAGGGAGGAAACTCCTGTGAAATCAAAGCATAAGCTTCCAATCTGTGGCTTTTAATGAGCAAGGCATAACTAATTTATTCTGGTTTTGCTTTAATCTGAACGTTCAAGGCGTAAGTTTAAGTGTGGCTGTTGCTTCTTAAGTGGGGCTGTCAAAGTGTTGCTGTATTTGCATGGGGCCAGTTGGTCACAGCCAGGTCTGTGCCATACTGCAGTCACTCAGTCCCTGCGTGGTATTTGATCCTCGATTTGTTCTAAATGATTTTACCCGGCACAAGCTGTATGAAAAACAGACTTGGAGGGTACCCGAAATATCATCTGCCTGTTCCACAGCTGGTTCACACAGTCAGGTCCATTTATCCAGTTCATTTGCATTAGAGCTGTGCTGCAGGAAGCTCTGCGGAGGTTGCTACCTCTAAACTTTACTTTGAATTTTAAGCCAAACCACAGAATGAATCTGGACCGATGCCACCAATTTGGGTTGAAACCCAAATGCCCGCTGAAGGTGCCCTAACCTAATTGAAGTAGAAACTGTGATCCAGCATTAAACTTTCTGATGATGTATAGGTAAAGGTACTCCAGCTCATTTGGATCTTGGACAAGCGTGGTAAAAGTATGTGGTTTACACATAATGGATGTGGGGAGAAAACATGAATGCCTGTGGGCTGTGTACGTGACTCACCCTCTCAGCTTGCAGGTCAGGGGCAGCTTGAGCTGTATCCTACATATTTCACAGAGCTCAGCTGAGCCCCTCAAGGTTTGTAGGTGCCAATCTAATTACAGGAATTGAACCAGAGCTTGTAATGGTCTTACTCTTTATGGTCAAGCTGCATTAGCTTGGTTAGTGATGCAAGTCATTAGCAGTGGGATTGCCTGTGACTCTGTACATGAGCACACATTGTAGAGTACTTGCCTACGATACACTGAGTATCTGTGATCTGTTGGGGCTGTATTTAAATGGCAGCAGTCCACCTACTCATCTGCCAATCAAACCACTGAGGTCTCTGATCTCTGACACGGTGTTTTTGTCCACCCAGTTTGAATTGTATGTTCTTTGGAACAGAAGCTGCTTGCGTACAGCAGCCTGCAGTCCCATATATTGCCAAATACTGCCAGACTATGTGTAATAATAAATAATTTCCCCTAAGTTGGCTTGCAAGGTTTGAAATTCCTGGAGAACTGCTTTCTAAGAATAATGCAAAGCAAAATCTATAGAAAAGTCTTTGACTCTTTCTTTGTAAGGAAATTATTCTGCAGCTTTGGTATTCAGGAGGCTGTTTGAGAACAAAAGCTAACAGCTTCCTCCAAACTCAGATTTGAGCAAACCCACACATAATGCTTATGCCACCTGAGCATGCACCTTGGAGACAGTGCCTCAAAGATATGGGCAGGCAATGACCTGGCTCACTCCATCTCCCTTGGGATGCAGAGAGAAGGAGACCTTCCCTTCCTGTCCTGATCTGACTGAGTTCAGGGTGGTTCCTACAGTGCATTCAAATTCTCTTTCTAGTGCCACACAGTTTGGGATCCTTTAGTATAAGGTTCGGTTGTATTTTTTAATTTTAATTGAGTAGGAACAAATGACTGATAGGCTATCTTCATAGCTTGAGGGGTGTATTTTAGCATTGCTGAATAAAATGCTAACGATTTAGAGACAAAATGCTGCTGTGGGTGGCAAAAGTGCTAAATATCATTATTATCTTGCTTTCTTTATTAGAAGTTTGTACGAAAAATATGCTTTTAAAGTTTGGTTATGAACAGTTATTTCCAATACAATTACTCCCTCTTGTGTGTAAACTACCTGCCACGTTTTAATTACAGGAAAACAGTTGGGTAATAACGCAGCAGTAAAGATGGATTAGAGTTAAGAAAGCTCATCTGCTTAATAGGCTGGATTCTTTTATTAATGATTTAAAGGAACAGACTTTGTTCTAATTTTTTTTAATTAAAAATTGCCTCAGAATATAATGACTGTGCAGTTTACATTCCCTTTTCATGATTTCTCTGGGGTCTTTTTAGGTGCAATTCTAAAGCCAACATGGGAAATAAATCTGCTTTGCTTCTCAGCTTCTGCTTTGTAGTGCAGCTCTAATTGGTCAGCTAAATTGTTTAGAATTAGAATTAATTTTGCTATACCCTTACTGTTTTTTTTTTTTTCCTCATTCTCCTTCACACACAAAGAATTGTGCACTTTTCCATCTTAATTCATGTTCCTCCTTTTATAAAACAAGTAATTGTTTCTAGATCACCCTCATTACCCCAGAGCTTTGTGTCTCTCCTTTCTATTCTCATTCACATGGACTACATCTTCTGATATCAAGTTGTTAATCTTGTAGGGATCTGACAGAACCAGCAGTGCTGTGAGTGACTGTACTGTTAAATGAAGAAGTTTCTATGGATTAAATCCTTACCCCTGTGGGATGCAGTGAAAATGTTGGCATTGCCTACAGTGGATCTATCGTTAATTATAATGCTTTTTAGTTGTGGTTTTGTACCCCAGATTCAAATGACCTTCTTTTCAGATTTAAAAAATAATGTTTTGCTTTTCTTACGCTATTTTCAGAGACTTGAAGTTTCTGTTTCTGCATTAAAAGCAATTGGGATTATATATCCTTTAAAGATATTTATTCTGCTATTTCAGCTTCTCTCTTTGGGAGTTCAGAATAAAACAGTTCTAATAGGATATTGCAGGATGTTGTTGCAAGGTCAGTTCCTCTACTGTTGCATCACCTGCAGTGTTAGGCTTCTGGTCCTGATCACTTGCTAAGTTACAATGCATCGATTTCTTCCAGTGCTGCACCTTTGAAAACTCAGTCTCTGACTATATGTCAGTTTTATTATCCTAATAGCGTATCCTCTCAGCCAGCACAAGCACCTAAGGCCTTCATCTTCCTGTTAGCACACAGTGATGAAACGAGCCCATATTTTTTTCTCACTGTCTGTACTCTCTGCTAAACCTCTGAGTTCTTCTGGTGCCATGACATCGGGTTTGCTTACAGATATATCATGGAAGTGAAAAAGATGGCGAGCCTTCCACCGGTACCTCTAAACCAAATGGTGTGTGCTAAGTAGCAGTCATTAGGTAATTCTTTGTTTTTATTCTTTGTCTATTGCACAAGGCAGGCTGCAGCATACAGCCTGTTATGGAGGTAGGTGGCCCTTTTCCCTCAAATATTTTGGTGGTTTGGCTTTTGTGAAGAACCGAGGCTCGTGCAACTGTGCTTCCATCTCAGTGTACGAGCTCTCAGCTCTCTCGTATCTGTTGTTTTTAAGCCACGTATCATATTGAAAACCTCTGAAGAGATGTAAGTATTCAGGAGACAGGAATATCTCGAGCATATTGGGTTTATGGCTGCGATGCCATTGATCCCTGCAGGACCCAGCAAGCAGCGAGGATGCGGTGGGCTGTGCAGGGAAATGAGTCATAAACTCTCGATCCCAGATCCCACTTCTGCCACCTCCCTCTGGAGAGGATTGTTCTCAGCTTCTCTTTCATCTGAAGAAATAAGATATTTCCTCTCAGCGCCAACAAAAGATCTTCAGCCTAGTGGTTCTGAAGCAGAAGGAGATTTGTCTCTTAGAGAACACGTAAAAGGTATTATTATAAATGGGAGGAAGAACAAAAACAAGCTCGCTTTTAAAATGCTGATAATCAGCTAGGCCTCTGAATAGCTCACAATCTGATCCCTCCCCATATTCTCGCAGTACATTAGGAGAAATGATTTAATTTGGGAAGCCACACAGAAGTGATGTACCGGGCTGATCTGTGCAGTAGGTTCTCCACCCCTTCTTCCCTTGTTCCGCGTGTTTTTGTTTTTGCTTTTTTTTACTTTCTGAGCTTTCTGACAACTCTCCTGAACTCTCTGCATGGCAGAGAGCAATGACCTTCTCAGCTTTGAAAACCGAACAGCCATCTCTCTAACAAAAATAGAATTTTTCTGAAGCACCTCTTCTTGGTGATTGCTTCAGGCAGAGGAGCTGCTTGGTGGAGCCTGCACGTCTTTTCCAGCTTGGCCTGGAACTGGAAAGCCATCAGCTTTTCAGAAAGCTGCTTAAATTCTTTCTTATTGTTTGGTGTTGCAGTCTGTAAGATGGGGCTGGAGGTGGCTCTCCCACCACTGCAAAGCACAGAGCAATAGAAACTCAGGCTCTGCACAGAGCTCCAGTTTGCAGGCTCACTGCTGCTGGCTGGATGGAGCCCTGGGCAACCTGATCTAGTGGTTGGCAGCCCTGACCACTGCAGAGGGTTGGAGCTTGATGATCTTTAAGGTCCCTTCCAGTCTGAGCCATTCTATGATTCTGTGGTTGGCTCTGATGTGTGTCTGATTAAACTAAAGAAGGGGAGTAAGAAGAAAGTAGCATATACTTCCTACATTTGCATGCATTTACCCTATTTAAAAAAGGGGAAATTTAGATTGGATATAAGGAAGAAGGGTTTTTTTGCAATAAGGGTGGTGAGGCAGTGGCACAGGTTGCCCACAGAGGTGGTGGTGCCCCATCCCTGCAGATACCCAAGGTCAGACTGGAGGGGATCTGAGCACTGGTGGAGCTGTGGGTGTCCCTGCTCAGTGCAGGGCAGTTGACCAGATGGCCTTTAAGGGGCCCTTCCAACTCAAACGGCTCTATGATTTACCTTACGCAGTGTTGAGAACTTGTTCTAAAGCCTGAACAGTTCTGTGGACAAAATTACGAACCTGTGATTTTATGGACTGCAGCTTCCCCCTTCCCTCTGCAGACACTGTGTTATCTCTTCTGTTCTTGGATGCATCTTTTCTGCTATATATTCCCATCCCTGATTTGATAAATGTCTTTGAAGTACTCGCTGCTGGATGCTGCCATTCTATGTGCCTGTTCTTCCAGAGCTTTGCTATGGAGATGAGTTGAATATACCATTTGAATTCATCACAGCTTACATTTTAGTTCTGGCCATTTCCACTTCAATTACATCTTCCCCATTACCCATCCTGCCTTCGCTGCTGTGGTCAATGGTAAGATGGAGTGAGGTAATTATTTGTATTGAGGCCCAAGTTTCTACGGGACTACACTCCAGTGCACTTGCATGAAGGACAACCTGTTAACACTGAAATGATATGGTTGCAGACAGATTTATAGGAGAGGAATAGATTTGCACAGGTAATTCAGCTTTGACCCCTTGAGTTCTCATTACTTCTCATCCACGAAGCACTATTGCCCACCTCTTTCCTTTTTTTAAATGAGATCCAGTAACTAATAGTGAAATTATGGCAATCTACTATATGAAATTTGTGATTATTTGCATTTAATTAAAGGCTTCTCTTGAGAAAATGAAGGGCAGCTTAACCTCAGAGAAGCCTCTACATCTCCAGTAATTGCTTCTAATGGAAGTCTTTAGAGTTTCTGCCCCACCACAGGAAAAAGAAAAAAAAAAAAAAGTTCCTCCCACACACAGGGTCTCAAAATTATTTTATCCTTGTGCGGTGAAGGTGACTGAGGAACCCAGTGAAACATTCCTCACTGTGGTTTAACCAGCTAAAATTCAATTTAATTACTCAAAAGCCAGGCTTGTGGTGTGTTTATGAAAAGAGGCACTGTGCATTCTTGTTGAAGGAAGTTGATCTTCCTCTTCATGTTATGTTTGCAGTCTGGCAGTTGGTGTCAACATTGGAGAGTGGGACTGGGAAACCTTTTTGAGGATGGCCAGTGCTCCACATCGCTGCATTGCCCCAGTGAGCCCAGTGCACATTGTGCCTAAGGCAAGCATGAGATTGCAGTGTCTCAGACACTGAGTGTGTGGCACTCGAATCGTGCATTCTGCCTAATTACTTCTCTCAGTGTTTTCATGCCCCTTCTGGCAGCACAGTCACTCTGCTTGCACCCTCTGCTCTATTAAAGTCCCTTCTTCTATTACAGATCTGAAAACAGGCACGACAGGAATTAGAGTATATGTTGCAGCAGCAGGTATGGCCATTTTCTGCTATCTGTTCTCTATGCCGAAGGTATGAATGTTGAAAAACATTCTGCTGTCCTGTGTTCTTACGTTGTCCATCACACAAGTTCTCGTTAATATGCAGTAAAACACATAAAATGTCTCTGAAATCTTTTGTAGTGACCTCGTAGAGCTATACAAGTCAGAAATGGAAACATCATTGTTAGTCAGCTCTCTCTGATGTTTTTTAGCAAGCAAACATGTTGACAAATAGCAACTGTTTATTTTGGGGGGAAAAGGGTGTTTTAGTTATGTATGCTGTGCCCTGAAATGTATTTCATGTAGGCGCGAGCCATGTAGGTGTGTGTAGGTGCTGATTTTGATTGAGGTTATTTAGTAAGGTGGCATTGTTTCTGATAAGAAATACTTTGTCCTTCCAAACAAGGCATTGAAGCTCTTCATTCTGGGAAACTAAGAAATCAAATGCCTTTTACAATATTTACTTCTCGTGCATGTTAGAAAAGGAATTCCTGCTAATTACATATTTGTGCACACACACTACTGCGGAATGAAGGTCTTATTTATGGAAGCATGTCATCAGATGAGTTTGTTAGGTTTTCAGCAAAGCTTTGAGTCTTGTGAAGGGGAGGCACGCCAAGCTGAGCAGCTCCTGGCTGGGCTAGAGGAAGATTAGGTGGATCTTAACAATTCTGCTGTGATTTTACAGAAAACCGCATTGTCTGGAAGGAAGGATGATTCAGTTCACCACCAGTAAGTGTAGATTATAAAGCAAATTTCATCTTTATTTGAAGTTACTTGTCAAAACCTATTGACCAAAGGTATTTGTCTTTGCTAGTATTATAAATGATTCACTGTCATACATCGCACAAGAAAAATCCTGTGTGTTAGAAAGCAGATGTTTAATTTCTTTCTTCTTCCCAGCGGAGCCACATTTCTTGCCACTGCACCTTTCCTCTAATAGAAGTTTGTCTGCAGTAGTTTGCCTAGTCAGTCCTTTCATTCCTTTAAATGAGAATGAGGAGCTGTTAGGAGTTCAGGGTTGAGATAACAGTACTCTGTACAGGGAGCCTGAGGCCACAATGAAACCTTTGTTGTACGTGATGCTGGGAGCCCATAGGAACAGCACCATGGCTACGTTCCACATCCAAATAAGAAAGTCACCAGAATGGAAGGCATTGCAGGTCTGTACTACAGGAGCATTTCGTATGAGGGAAGAGTTTCACACTTTGGGGAAAAAGATCTGTTCTGCAGGTGAGGTCGGAGCCTGGAGCTGGGAAGTCAGTTAATTTCCTGTTGCCTGCAGACTATGCTAAATAAATACGGAGTAGCCAGGCACTTGATGGATGCCTCAGCTCTCCTCGTACAGGGCTATCAGTCTGTGGCATTGCTTCTGGGTTACACAGGTATAGATGAGAGGGGAATCAGTGGCTCCGGAGGCAGACTACAAAGAAGAGAGTTGTAAACTTTGAAATATAGGCAGTATCTGGGCAAATGGAAAGAGAAGTGTAACCCCGGCTGGTTTGCTGTTGGTGTTGTTGTTGTTGCTGCTTTAGGTTAGTGATAGACTATAGGTTGACATGTTAAATGGATTTCACTCACCTGTTAGGTGTGTCAGTTTAAGACAAATATGTGGACACTGGGAATTTATGCACTGCAGAACACAGAAAAGGGATCGAGAGAGTTCTGTACGCAGAGGTGGCTGAAAAAAGCTGGAGATCTCTGCTCTGAAACAGCAGCCCAGCTCTGGAAAATGTCACAGGAGTCTATAACTGGGGACCAGCTCTTCATGCATCCCAGTAAGTGATAGTAAATAGGTCTGTTGTACTTGGCTTTTCTCCCTTTTCCTCTTCTTAAAGTGAGTCCATGCGGTAAGAAATGTGAAGTTGAATGGCTGAGTTTACAGCTCAGCTGGTTATCACTGATGTTCATATTGGATGAGCTGTCTGAAATACATACTGAAAGCGTAGAGAGATGATGAGATTCATGATGGGGAAATGACCACCATTCATCCAAAATGTTTTCAGTAACAGCACAGGGAAGGGATTGCATTGGTGCAATCTGTAGTTCTTGTTTGTATTTTAAAGGTCTCTAATGAGCCATGTGTGCAGTGCATTTCTCCCTGGGAAATCCCACTGAAATCTGCCACTTGGATTTCATTTCTTGTGCTGCTATATTTAGAGCAGAAAGCAGATCTCCCAGCATGACTCCTCCTGGCTTATAGAAGCTCTACGAATTGTCCTAGCAATAAACACTAATCAGTTACCAGAGCTGCCTGCACCCTGTGAAAATCCCTTAAAATGATTAAAAAAAAAAAAATAAATGGGAGCACAGTATTTGCAATTGCATTCCAGCTGCAGTCCTGTGGCAGTACCCCATTGTCATCTCTGTGCCATGGGGATGGTGTCAGGGGATGTGGTGTGTGCTTTATTACTGTGGTCTTTTGCTCAGTTTATATTTCTGCACCTCCTTTTTTATCCTGTGGAGAAGGAATCTGATCACAGTTGTCTTCGCTGAGTTTTAATGGGTAAATTGGAGTTCTTAGAAGTTTTTGATCAGCCATAGTGTCAGAGTGCACGTTCCCTTCCTCGCAGTCCAGCAGTGCTCTATAGAAAAGCGATCAGGAGGTCCAATGGACTTGTTCTTTGTAAGTTCCTGTTTTTCTTGACCATAGTTCCACTAAAAATCATGCACAGCCATGCCAAGTGAGGCATCACACAGCATCTTGGTATAATCAAGGGGGTGAGCCTTCCTGCTTCAGTGCAGTTCTTTCCCTGGCTGTAAAGTGCCAGGATGGACCGTGTGCTGTAATGAAGAAATGTGGTGGCATGGACATTAGTAAAATATGATGAGTGGAGAGAGGTAATACATGTCTGTTTGTGGTGTCAAGTGAGAATGTGGTGTTTTTGTATTTCAGATGTCTTTCACGTTTAAATCCCTTTCTGTGCTCATCTGCATAGGAAAAAACATTTAAAACTTGAGAGCAACAGAGTTACTGTGGCTTTGTAGAAATGGTGCTCCTGAGTGAATCAGAAATGTGTCCATCCTTGCAGCTTTTTGTTACCTTTCACAGTTCTTTGATAGAGATGTAATTTTCTCTAATCATTCAGAAAGATGGCTGGATATTTTTTCTATTAAATCCTGAAAGACTCAAACCTTTCCTGGCTTACCTTTGCTATTTTTCATGTTTATATACAACAGCATAATGCATCAGCATTTTTACACATTCCCCATATAAGAATGAGCCATGCTTATGAAGGCTGTCAGACTTTCTATTGAACGGAATAACTGGAGCATCACTATGAGTTGACACCAGCCTAAGAATCACATCTATATGCTGAAATGTCTTATTTTATGCCTGTGTTGCCGTTTAATAGCTAAGCTGTGCCCTTTCCTTATTTACTGTTGCTATCCAGAAGTGCATTACGCTGGGGTCCAGGTGAGCCTGGCTGCTGCTGCAGGTGAACCCAGGTGCCTACAGGCTGCATTGCCATAATTAACTGGTGAGTTAGGAAGGGAAGGGAGACCAGCCTGCAGCGCCTCAACCTTCCTTTCAGCAGGTTTTTCCTAGCTAGGATTGCAGTATAAAATGATTACTTTTTGCTCTCTCCTCTGTATTTAGCCTCGGGAGGTTTTTGATAGGTTTTGGCTATTAAAGACAGCAGTAAATGCCTAACTGGAAGCTGTCTGGCATTCATAACCTTAAGCTGTATAGGAAAGCAGAAAAGCTGAATGGATTTTTTTTTTTTCTTTCCATTATTTTCTTCTTTATTTTCCTAAGGAAAAGACCTACAGGAGCAGATGAAGCTGCCTGCCTTTCAGGTGAATTCCACTCAGGATGATAAATTACGTCTGAACTGAACCAAAATGTTCCTAATGGCCCTAGTCAAAAGGCCCATTACAGGATATCTAACTCACTTAAATTCCTTTCTGCTTTAAATCGTTAATGATTATGTATTTTAGGGCTGAAGTGGTATGTGCTTAAGGGGCGCTTTAAGGTTAGTCAAACTTAAAAATGTACACCTGAACTGAGAGACGTGGGCTCCCTTGAGTGACCTTGCTCTGGTGGCTGCTTCTACAGGTAGATAATTGTGTGGGGATGTTTACCAGCCACCAGGAAGGTTTATGGAAAAGGAAGTGGAGGGACATTTTAGAGCAGAGAGCAAAGAGCAGCTTTGGCCGGCCCATGTGGTTTGTAAATCACACGGCTGATACTGCAGTGAGAAAGTTCATTTGTCTTCTGCTGTGACGTTTGGGGAAGTAAACCACGTGGTGACATGAGGGACAATTTCCCAAAGGAATGGCTGGTAAACTGTACGTCACCAGTCCTGTTCTGACTTGCGCATTTACTTGCTTTTAAGAACAGTTTTGCAACAAAGAGATTGGTATCCACGTGGTAACTGGGAAGATTTGGACTCAGCCTTGTGCCGCTGCTTGTTCTGCTGCTGACCAGGGAGCGTCTGTATGCGCTTGTCTGTAGAGAACATCAACCTGTTCAGCATCATCAGTTACAGGAACTTGCCCATTTCTTTGACTTTCAATGTCTCCTGACAATAAAACACAGAAAGTTCCCTGTCACTTCAGATAGCCTTGATATTTACAGAACCTGTGCGCTCACAGCAGCTGTGTTCATGTGGATAATGATGCCTGCAGGTCCATTTTTACTTTCATTAGACTCATCTGTGAGTTTATTGGAGCTTAGATTTGCTTTCTAGCCTTTCTCCTCAAGTGTCGCCATTATGCTAAGTCAGCGGTTACACAGTCTTCTGTTCAAGCAAAATCAGATGTGACCTAAGGTCCAGTATCTTTGATCAGACTTGGGCACATCTTCCTTCAGAGTCAAAGCATTGATTCAGAGCCAGCAAGCAGCATAATGCCTTTTCCTGCAGACACTGGGCAGAAATTGGCCCCATAATAATACTCTCATACGTATCTGATGTATGCACATAGAAGTGAGTAAGCTTGCAGAGATAGCTGAAAAAGCATGTTTTCCAGAATATTAAATTGCTGTGTACAGAGAGGTTGCACATGCCTGGGACTGTAACACTGCCATCTTCTGTCATCTTTATTGTAGAATAGAGGGATGTGTTCTTTATAAACTGCAAAATACCCATTTTCCTTTTGCCTTTTCTCTCTTGTCAATACAGCTCCCCAGTGGGGATTTTAAGCAAACATTGTCCTCAGCTTGTTTGGGATGTCATTGATAGGAATTCCTGGCCTAGCACACTGCCAACATCTGACTCCTTTAGAATATTTCTGTTCCCTACTGAATCACTTCATACATGATGAGTCAGCAGGCCTTTAATTGCTATTCCTCTTAGCTGGGAGTGCTCTCGTTCAATATGTTAAATATTTGATTGCGCTGGCTTCCCAGATAGAGCCAGGAGGTCATTTGGATGAGCAGACACCCAATACAGAACCTGTTGCTCCTCCAGATAGCAAGCTTGGGCGCTCAGCCTGTGGCTGCGTCTGGAAAGCATCCTTTGGGGCAGGTGGGGCCACGGGGAGCCTGCAGCAGCAGCTGCACTCAGGATAAAGCAGGTGCTGCTGTTCGCTGCCCAGGAGGGCCCTGCACAGCTGAGCATGGCAGGGTGGAGTGCTCCCAGCTGTTCCCAGCACTCTCTCTTGCTCTTTTGTCACGTAGCGATGTCGACATACCCGCTGGGATACTCCTGTGCTTGGTGGATTATGGAGTGTGCCTTAGGGGACTCAGTAAGATGGGATGTTATAGGCAATAAAATTATCTTCTCGTAACTTTACTGAACGTTATGCATGTATTTCATACTCAGTGAGCTGAAATAAGGGCACTTCTTATAGCAAGTGTTTTAAATGAATGCATTGTGCAGGAACAATCTCAGATGCCTTGCTTAAGACAGCCTGGCTTCCAGCTAAGACTGTCATTTATTTCACACCTCCGCTGGGCAAAGTGGGTCTTCAGCCTTCCAACTGAGGTGGGAAATCCGGTTCAGCATTCATGAAAGTGCTATACCTGCCCACGAAAAGCTGGGATTTGCTGGTTGTAAATGCCTCCACACTTTAGGGAAGGTATTTCTCCACATGATGCTGTGTAGGAGAATTCAGGTTCTCACATCACGGCAGTGTATGAGCAGTCCCAAGCATCTTCAGTAGTGTAGGTTTGAGGTTGGAACCGCAATGCAATCTTTGGAGAAGATTCCAAATGTAC